TAAGTAAGTTACTTTTAATAAGTGTTGTATTCTTTATATGAAAGTTGTGGTTTAATTTATTTCTGTGTATAACTAATGTATTTGATAAATTGTTTGTGTTCATAGATACGTTTTTTTTTTTTCATTGCTGTAAGTTTCCCCAGCATATTGTGAGGAACAGTTCTGGCAATTTATTTTATATATACCTGCTTCAGAATTATTATTGTTATGGGTATTTTTGGTTCTGATCAGATCCATAATAGTTTTGGATGTGCTTGTAATTATTTTGATGTTTAGATTGGATAGATTGTTTTGGATACTGAAAGTTATGGTGTTAGTAAGCAGTATTATGTATCTGTTTTTATCTAGTTTATTGTTGTTAATAATGTTATCTTTTTTTGTGGTCATATTTTTGTAGACCTTTCTCTTAGCATTGTAGATGAAATAATAAGGATATTTGAGGTTTTTGAAAGTGTTTTCTATGTATATTTCTTTTTTTGGGTATGTATTGGGGGTTGCAGATTCTTAGTGCTCTTAAATAGAATTCTATAATTATTCCAAATCTGATCTTGTTACAATGGTGGGAATAAAAACTAACCAGGTCATTCTTGTTGGTAGATTTTCTGCAAACCTCAAACTACTGTTTGTTATTATTTCTATTCGGCAGGATATCCAGGAAGGGTAAAGTGTTGTTAGACTCAGATTCAAAGGTAAAGTATATTGTGTGTTCGATGTTATTTAGTTTGTTGACAAGATCGGGTAAAATTATGTTTTGTGGATATATTAATAGAAAATCATTTGTGTATCTGAAATAAAAAGAATTTTGTAAAATATTTTTTACAGGACCACTTTCCAGAAATTCCAAAAATAGTCAAACCAAAATGTCACTGAGGGGTGAACCCATCAGTAAATCATATTTATAAAAATTGTTGTCAAAGGTGAAAAAACATTGATGGCACATTTTTATGATTTTATGTGTGGGAGTAGGTAATTTTAGTTTTGTTATGTATGCTTTAGTAAATCTAGACATTTCTTTACAGGAACATTTGTGTATAAAGATTTTATATCTAAACTAGTCATATATTTGTTTTTGATGTCTGTTTTTAATTTATTTATAAGATTAACAAAGTTTTTTTATATGCTAATTGTATCAAGAAGCAGGGTTAAAATTTTGGTTAGTGTGCTGTGGCTAATCTATGCCTACTACTGATATAATGGGTTTCATTGGGATGTCTGGTTTATGTATTTTTGGTAATCCATATGGTGTGGCTGTTTTGGGGGGTGGAGGGCAGGAGGGGTGTTCAAGGAATTTTAGCCAGGAATTCTCTTCATTTTTTTTTGTAATTTCTTGGTTTTGTTTTAAAATTTTTGCTCTTGTATATAAATACTTGTTACAAAATAAAATCCTTGCATCTGCCCCAGAAATGGAATGTGTTGGCTGAGATAACTTTGCCTATATGTATATATATATATGAAAAATGTGTACGAATGTACATTTATCTGTGTGAGTTTTTGTATGAATACAATAGCAAACATTGTGATATGTAGATAGATATTTTTATGGAAACCTTTATATATGTACATAAATGCAATGTGTGTGTGTATATATTATATATATATTTGTATATGTTGATATGTCATGATATTTCTGTGTACATTTGTATTATATTTGAAGCTACATATGTGCATATTTTTATTTTAATTATAGTTATATATTGGTATTTGGAGGTATATAAGTGTGCATGCATATATATATATATATATATATATATATATATATTTCTATTTATACATTATTTATATGGATACAATTTATTTAAGTAAATATTCAGTTTTTAATAAAACAGTACTAATTAGATTTACTGGCATGAATGTTTGAGAAATTTTGGAGAAAACAAAACAGGGAATTGAATCTGTATTCCTATACAGAAACCATTATTTGATCTGACGTGCTGTGCCATTTAGCTACATAGAAGCATCTGGTTAGCAAAGTTCAAATTACTGTTTTTAAACACATAATCCTCAACAATGTTTCTTGATTGATCATATCTGCTCTTGAAACATATCTTAACATAAAAAATGACAACATATAAGGAAATGGATTAAGTTTGACAATTATTTAATATATTTTCTGTTTATACTTTATTTTTAACTTTTTTTTTTTAGTATTCGTTGGAAAAGTTTTCAAAGTATAAGTTTGATAAATGATTCTTTTTTCAATGATTCTAAGAGGTCTTTTTCATTTTTTATTTCCCTCTTTTGTCAAGTTCATCTCATGCTAATTCTGGGTGCGGTTTATAAATTTTGAACTGTAGTGTGGGTGTGTGTGTATATATATATATATATATATATATATATATATATATATAATTTATTTGAAAATTATAACATAAATATGTTATAAAATCACTACAAAAATAGCCATTTTGTTTCAACACTACTGGTGTCTTATCAAGTGATGGTGTTGAACTTCTACACTGTATTGAACACTATTAAGAATAGTATTTTTTGGTTATTGGAATTTATTCTGTATACACCAGTCCTATACTTGTGTGTGTGTGTGTGTGTATATATATATATATATATATATATATATAAGAATTGATGTTTTTGTTTTTGTTTTAAATTCGATAAATTTTTTATTACTTCAAACATTATTTTTAGTGGATACCAATATTTGAGTAGATGCTCCATTTATTTGAAAATTTATTTCATCTACTGGGCTGTGGATTCAGTCAGATTACAAAAAAGAAATTCATTAAATCTTTAGAAATTTCTTAGTTTACATTTCTGATACAAATCAGATATGGCTTTTGTTAAAATCTGAATGAGTGATTGCTCTTTAAGGTAAGGAGGACCTTACTTCAGTGTGAAGCTCTCTGTATCTGATCAGTAAAAGCACGCTGGATAAGACAGTGGGTACTCCTACAAAGGATGATGCACGTTCAAATCCTGTCAGAGGGCACAATTTTTCTTATTAAGTTTTCACAAGTATGCTGGCCAGTAGACTAAAAAATGCTATTCAAATAAACAGAACATCTATTCAAGTACACGAAAGTATCCACTAAAAATAGCATTTGAATATACATGGCGTATCAAAAATACTTTTACAAACTTAAGGGCAGGTTTCTCACATCAAAACAAGGACAAAAATCCATATAAATATATGCCTATAAATCCTTAGTTTTTGAGTTATTAAGTTTAAAGAAGATTTACAGTAGATGGTACTGTGTTGTCATGTAGACAAGGTTACATTTGTCATTCGTGTACATTTGTGACTAGTCTGTTTTCAATGTTTAACATGTGCAGTAGTGAGTTAACTGAGAAATGTTCCATTTAACAATGGCAGGATATTAATATCGGGAACAGGTAGATACGATTTTTACATATGGCCACATGAATGGTAATGGACACAAAGCTGCATGGCTGTATCAGATTGCATTTCTAGATTGAAGGCAGCTGAGTCATCCAACCTTTGCTGCTGTTTATTGTCGCATTGCTGAGACAGAATCTGTTGCATCACAAACTATGGTAATAAGTATTTTGAGATTGTATCTTGTATTGTACATTTAACAGCATCTACCATAAACTTTAAATAACTCAAAAATGAAGGATTTGTGGACATATGCTTATATGAACTTTTTTCCTTGTTTAATGTGATGAACCAAAGTTTGTTTTATATATATATATATATATATATATATATATATATATATTTTTAACAAAAATCTTGGTAATCCGTACAGATAATTCCAAGGAGGATGAAATCCTGAGAGCTCAATGTTAATTCAGAGCAAATAATTTAATTTAAAGAAAAACAGACCACTTTAAGGCTCCATTAGTTATAATTTATTTCACCAGAGAATTTTATTTTTCTCTAGATCTTCAGACCTCACTTTCAAAGGTAAAATGGAAAATGAATTTAAAATTTACACTTTTGATGGGCAGTATTAAGCTTATATAAGTTGACATAGAGGGTGGTGAGGAATAGTGTGAGAGACATGGTGGAGTTTAGAGAGGGAAGGGAGAGTTTTAAAATTTATTTTTATTACAATACTTAATATTGAGGAGGAGGTAATCAGAGGTAAAGAGGTAATCATACAATGAATCAATTAGTAATATTAATGTAATTAATGGTGAATTCTCTTCAATAACAGACTTAATATAAGTAATTACTTACTAACAATCCATTGAATGGCATAATTCTTATGTATAAAATTGTTTTCAAATCGATCTGGTGTTATTTTTAGAGTAGCAAGTACTTTCGAAAACTTCATGTTCTTATTGTCAGGCTGTAATTTTTTCTATTTAGAAATAAAACTCCAAGACAAAATAAATGTATTGTTGACCAAAAGATGTTTTTTAAGAATGTGTTATTTATTAAAGGTTATATAATTTTGGAACGTGCAATTAACTGAACTGTATACTTAGTTCATGCCACGTTAACTGGAAAACACTTACAACAAAAGAATTTGTGGATTTATCACATAACAAAATTCATACAAAAAATTCTCACTTGAAATATTGGAGCTCTAGTGTTGCAACTTGTATGTTCCAATATTACATAACCTTTAATAAATAACACATTCTTAAAAAAAAAAAATCATCTTTTGGTCTGCAACACATTTATTTCATCTTGGAGTTGTATTTCTAATGAAAACATCACAGCCTAATGATGAGAACATGAAATTTTCGAAAGTACTTGCTGCTCTAAAAATACACCAGATCCATCTGACGACAATTTTATAGATAAGGATTGCATCATTCAATGGATTGTTAATATATTAATGCTTATATTAAGTCTGTTATTGAAGAGAATTTGCCATTAATTACAGTAATATTACTAATTGATTCATTGTATGATTACCTCTTTATAATATAAAATATATGCTGCCCAATATTACATATATATATATATTTATTTATTAGTATCTTTAACACCAGGAATCAAATTACTGCCTTTGATTAACATATCACAAATATGAAATTGTAAAGCAAAATAATATTGTTTGCTGCTGTACCTTGTGATTCGAGGTTACCGTTGCCACAAGCTTCGGTGTGCCAGAAAAAGGCCCGCTCGAAATTCTGGTAGTCAGGTACAGAATAAAACATTCCCAACATTGACTGGGCCTTCACACAAGCCTGGGGGTGACCATTGTCTGCTGCCAGGAGCCACCATCTAACAGAATTTTAAAAATAAAACATTTGACTTTTTCTTCTTTGAATAATTCAGGTAAAAATGTGACAATTTTTTTTTCTCTTATAATTTTCAAGAAAAAAGTTGTAGGAATAAAATATATTAGATACATGATACTCACTAACAACTCAATAATGAAAAGAATTTCAAAAAGAATACGATTTAAATCATACAAAACAAAATAAAAACAACCTAAAACCTGAAGCAGTCATTTACATGATAGACTGTAAAAAATGCCAAAGTGATTGTTTTTTAAGGTTTATCAACCCATTGCAGTTTATTTAAATCAAAAAATTTCTTTCAGATTATAAGAATATTTTTTAAGATAATGGTTTAGTGATACAAGACTTATTAATTAACCTATAGATGGGGGGAGAAGAGGTGGATTCATATCTAATCAGAATTTGATAAAAAATTATGTGGATATAAAGTGGGGGATCAATTCTGTATTACAATCAATATATAAACTGAGCCTCCACTTTGTGGTCACAGTAGTTTTTATACATTCATATTTCAGAGAATGTAAATAAATCTAAAAGATATGCCTGTGTTGCTAATCAGTATTTCCCTGATTAATTGATTTTGCAGGTTATTTAAAGCCAGAAAATATTTTTTGATTGCAAGAATTTTTTTTTTCTTTTTGAGAAAAATAATAATTTAGTGATAAAAGTCTTACTAATTAATCCATAACTGGGAGGGGAAAAGAGGTGGATTCATACCTTTAGGGTATTTTGCATGTAAGTGAATATAACAAACCCAATGCGAATTTGAACTCTGCTCTCTGATTAAAGATTCCAAGCCATCATCCATTACACCACCTGCACATTCATGCTTACTTCAGTTGGTATTCCCAAGTGGTCAGCCATCTAGTTACTGACAAGGCACGACTTGGTTAATTTTGGTGGGAACTGGTGTTTCAACGTGGTTTGGCCAAAAAATGTCTGAACACAATAATGAGTGTTTCTCTGCACTTTCTTAGTCTCATGTTTCTCACTGACCTGAAGTGGAACAACTATAATGAATCAATAGCTTCATCTACCGCAAGGAAAGTTGGTTTTCTCTGTGTCATACCATAAGGTTTTTCTTGTCTGAGTCTATCCTTCAAATCTACAAATCTACCATTGTCCTTGCATTGAATACTGCTGCCGTATATGGTCTGGTTCCCCCACTGTTCATTTTGAGGTTCTCAACAAAATCCAAAGATGGATATGCAATGTGATAGGTCCTGACCTGGCATCTCGACTCCAGTCACTTTCTCACAGACATGATGTGGCTTCTACAAATATTTTCATGGCAACTGCTCTGATGAGCTATTTTCACTGGTACCCCAATTGCATGAATTTAAGCGTGCTACTAGATTGGCATCTCAGTCCCACCCTTTTAATGTCAAAACAATTAAATGTAACCATCTCTTCTACTCCAACAGCTTCTTCTATCACACTTCCCGACAGTAAAACTCCCTTCCTCTTACTTGCTTCCCTGATAGCTATAATCTTCAAAAATTTAAATGTAATCTGATGCCTTGATCCTGATCGCCATCCTTCTCTTTATCCTTTCCTCAAACATTCCTCTTTACTCTTACTTTCACTTTCTGTAACCCCTTGCATGCTAGTGGCATGCCTGCCTTGTTTGGGGTGAAATGCCTAAAAAAAATAAAATAAAAATTTATTAATGTGAAAATGTATAGAAAGTGCTCTAATTTCTGAGTTTTCCACAGTTAATTTTCACCCTGGTTCATACAACATATCAATTTTCCTAATGAAACTACTGCTATTACAATATGAGACACTTATGAACAACAGTGATAAAAGCAAAAGGTGCTGATGATGCCACAGTGTATGAGTGCACCATCAAATATCTTGATGACCAGTACCTGGCAGCTGATCTCTCATCTGATCTAACTCTTACAGCTCAATGGGGGAAGAGACATCATTTAAAATGACTCCTAACATTTCATCATGAAGAGACTCTAAACTTGCACCTGCATATATTTGTGTTATCTCAAAAGATGCAAGAAGAATGGTCGATTCCTTGCATCCATTACTGCCATGCTCTATCTTCACAAGAGTCAGATCAGTCTAAGAACATTGCCGCCATATCTGGGCTGAGTTCAAAAGCACTTACACAGTCTTGTGGCTGATGAATTCTTCTTCACCCTGCAACCTTTACCATCCCGTAGATGAAATTTCGTCAGCCTTTCGCTTTGATATTGCTATTATTACTATGGCAGATGTTTGAATGAGTTACATTCGTTAGTACTACCAGCTCAGAACTGCAAAGCTAAGCCCTGTTATGTTGTGTTCATGGTGGCAAACCATCCCCATACATTGCTGTTCCTTTGATAAAAAGGAAGTTCCACTTAGATCTTTCATCAGAACTGTTTCATTGTGGAACAAACTCCTAGGAGAATGTTTTTGTGGCAACTACAATGTTCGTCTCTGAGTTCAGGGCCAACTGATATCTACTCGTCCTCATAATACTGTCTTATTTCCATCTTCCTCATCCTTTACAATCTCACTTAGTAACCATCTAACTTGAGTGGCCCTTGGGCCTTGTCTTGGATGAACTCTCAGCAAATAAATTAAAAAAAGATAACTGAATATGATTAGTTATGCTGTGCATTCAATAATAATAATTTTAAAAAGTGTCCCCTTTTTTTGGATGTAAAATTCTAACTGAAGTTGGTTGTATTTATTCTCTCTCCCTACATATAGAGGGAGTGATAGGTAAATTGCCACTATTTTATACTTTTATTTTCATGCATGAACATTGTTTTTGATTTTGTCAACTACACAGTATAGTAGGGTCAGTTGGGTACCATAAGTGAGAAAAAGAGCACCATGACACAATTCACTCAGCCAGAAATTTGGAAACAGCATACTGTACTACTTGGTGTTAGCACCATAAGCTCCAATACACACATTTCTGAGTGTTTGGGTGTCAATCTTAGGACAGTGCAGAGGATTCAGAAAGAATTGGATGAGTCTAATTGTGATTACAAAGGTATGGCAGCTAAGAAAATTTACTCTGATCATTTTGATAAGAACTCCTGAATTTGTTGGTGAGGGCCTCAGGCTCAACACAGAGGGCTACATCAAGTTCTTTGAGGAGGTAGTGCTGCCCTGGGTCAAGAGGGTGACTGATGGAAGACCCTATTTCTGGCAACAGGACTCTGCACCATGCCACACAAGCAGAAGAACCTAGTCATGGCTGTCAGACAATTTCTGTGATCACATCATATCCTTACATCTGGCCACCTAACTCCCCAGACTGCAACCCCTTTTGATTATTATGTCTGGGGCATAGTTGAGTGAGAGACCAACAAAAATTCCTTGTAATACAAAAGATGAAATTAAGGCTAGGATAATGGCAGCATTCACTAACTTAAACAAGGAGACAGTCCAGGGGAGATGCAGAAGATTCCGAAGTCATCTGGAGGGCGTGGTTAAAGTCAATAACGATTTTATTGAATAAATTTGCTCTTTGGTATTTCAAGATATTTTTGTGTAATTTTGTTAAATATACCTGTTAAAATGAGATGTCAGTATTATTTTCATTTTTGAGTAATTTAAACGACAATTCATGTGTGTGTGTGTGTATGTATATATATATATAAACATATGATTCATTGACAAAAACATTATTTAGTCTGGGTAAATGTGAATGGAAAACAATATCGAAGCAAAGAAGATCTCTGGGAAGCAATAAAAACTGCTGCAAGTAATGTGACCCCAGCCTCACCAGATATTAATCCAATAGAAAACTTGTGGTCCATCATTAAAAGAGATGCCTATAAAAATGGAGAACAATATTCAAGCAAAGAACATCTCTTGTTAAACTCAACACATTAGAAAAGTTAATAAAATCAATGACTGCTAGATTGTTGTGGTTTATGGAATATCCAAGAGTCCATATTAACTTTTAAAATAATAAAATAACAATTCATTCAGGTTATCTTCCAATGAGCTGGTCATGAAATGAGAAGTTGTACCTGACTACTATATCAGGCAAACTACACAAGGGTTTAAAAATAAGGATTGGTCACTGTAGCATCTCACTGGATTCTTCCTACCCTCTAAGTGACTCAATCTTTTCTTGTCCTCCCATCTCCCTAACCCAACCCAGCACATTTGGTCCCTGAAATGGAGATGTTTTTAGAATCTCCCATATTTTTCATTAAATGATTACTGATTCAAGACTAATGTGAAATTCCAATTGTAAGCATTAACAATGGCTTTTCCCATAATGTTGTTTGGATGTATTTTTATTTTTGAACCTGTTAGATTATTGTGTAAATCTAAATTTTCAACATTTACACATACATATTGTGTGTAGCCTGGATTACTTTGGATTTTGGTAACTTATGTGACTCTAAAATAATTGCTCAAAAATCTTGTATTGTTTTAATAGTGGGCAATGGAATATATACTAAGTTAAAACTTAAAAGAAAAAAAAAATCAATCATTTTATTCTATTCCCTCACCTTACTAACTCTGCAGGTAAAAGTTATGTGGATCAAACAGATTAGTTGGTGGGTAACTCATATATATATATATATATATATATTATATATATATATATATATATATATAGGTAAGTATTCCACTGTCGAAATGTCAGCAACTAAACAGACTACACCACTCCAAGTTCTTGCAAGTGAGGCGGCTTGTTAATGAAAAATCAAGATTACGTCTACTGTAGTTACATTCCATATTTAAACCAAAGTAATATACAGAATATAGAGTGAATTTTTAAATTTGGTTATTACGTTAACTATTCGTTATGCTTAGAAATGTTACAAATAGTGCTAAAGGGACATTAAATCTGTCTGAAGCTTGTTGACACAACCCCATTACAAAGGATAAGAAGTTGATTTAATATCAACATTAAGAAGTCAATAAAGGAACTGGAGAGGATCACAATAAAAATAAATAAACATAATATGTCGAGATTATTCAACCAAACATGCTTAGATTAAAAATAAATAATTGTTTTTTAAAGTTAATTTATGATTACTTTGAAGTTTTTTTATACAATTTCTTTATCTAGAGATTTAAAAAATTGTAATTCTGGTTTGAGTAGGGTGTGTCTTCCCACCCCCTGATCTGCATTTGTAAATAGTAGTAATAATAATAGTAATAAATGCCCTGATGCTATACCAGGTATGGCTCTCCTGGCTTCAGATCTTAATTTTAAAAAAAAAATGTGTTAGTGAGTATATGTTTTGTCTTGGTGAATAAAGATGGACAACGGTAAATATCCTGTTCAGTATCACAGATTTGCTTGCCAATTGCTTGACCATAACCAATGGGACATGTCCACAATTCTATTCCCAGCACTGAAAAACTTTTAGATGGCCTAGGATCATCAAAAGATATCATATGTAGAGCATTACATAAGTTTCATTCAATTAGCTTTGTGGTAAAGGTCTATAAACATTGAGAAAAGCTAGGAACATTTAAAGATATCATATGTAGAATATGACATAACCTTGATGCTTCAAGCTAGCATGTTACTAGATTGGCAATTAGGTCTCACAGGTTTACTGTTGAATGAGCTAGATGTAAACATCATTTCTACTCTAACAGCTTTTTTCCTTGCATGTCCCCCCTGTGGAACTCACTTCTGTTTCTTACCTCCCTGATAACTACAATCTTCAAAAATGTCATATAGGAAGAAAATGAGTAACAATAAACACTGAGGTTCAAGCGTAACACTCTGGACTTATGAATATATATTTTCTGCCAGGTGTATAAATAACAGTGTCAGGCTACTGACTGAAGTGACTATTGAGTGGAACTATCTAGTCAAATTAGTGTGAATTATTGTGCATTGATGATTTGGGGTTTTGATTTAAGATTTATTGGACATTAAGCTGAGCCATGCTATTAACAAGGTATTCACTGAAATGGTTATATATTGTTGGTTGACTTTTGCTTCTTTGTTCTTCTTAAGTATTTGTTTGTGGTTGTAATTAAATGCTGTTTTATCTTAGGATTGAAATCTTGAGTTATACTTAATTATTAACAGCTACCGTACGTCACAAAAAAACTTTAAAGTTTTGGAGTAAAGGTCTATAAACTTTGGGAAGAGCTTGGAACATCGAAAGATATAATATGTAGAGCATGACATAAACTTTGAAACTAAAGCAATGATCAAAAATGAAAACAATACATACCAATAATAGAAATGAAGTCATGTCAAATTATCTAATAACAACCTTATTGACTACTTATATATTGTTGCACCTACCTTTCTGCATCTTCATATGACTGTTGAATGCCAAAACCTTGAAAATATGCTAACCCAATGCAGTACTGTGCAACATGAATCAAATGTTTGTGCACATTGGATTTGCTACTGGCAACTTTAATCAGACATTTAAATCCTTTATTCTGTAAAAGAAAAAAAATTGTTGAGAAAATCTCAACCCAAGAAAAAAATTCATGATGGTGCAGGCCGGGGAAAGCAACAAAGGTACTTACCTTATGTTGCGAAAAAAATATCTACTTCTGCGACATAGCTTCTCTGTCATAAAACTTGCGTAGTATAACAAAGGGTAAAAAAAATAGGAAAAAACATTTCCTTTATAACCACTTCAGTGATCACATAACAAGTCATAAGACCTTGTAACTAAAAAAAAATTGGTAAAAAAAAAAAAAAAAAAAAACATTTCCTTTATAACCACTTCAGTGATCACATGATAACAAGTCACAAGACTTTGTAACTATAAAAAATTGGTAAAAAAAAAAAAAAAAAGAAAGGATAACGGCTTTTAAGTTGACCAGAACAACAACCAAGGTAAATACCTTACTCTTGCCACCGGAACCATCAATTTTTCCACAAAATTGTTCTTTGAAAACTTAAACAACTTCCTGACAGCAGAACTCCCTTCCTCTTATTTGCTTCCCTGATAACTATAATTTTCAAAAATTTAAATGTAATCAACATCTTCTGATGCCTCAATTCCCGTTCCTCTTTATCCTTACCAATTCCCCCCATACCCAGTTTTTCCCTTACTTTTGCTCACTGTTGTCCCTTGTGTGCTAGATGCACTCCCATCTTGCTTTGGGTGAAATGCTTAAAAAAAAAAAAAAAAAAAAAATTTCAGACTTTTCTATATATTATAATATTGTGTTAATTTAAAACTATGCCCATGGGAAAAGCAAAAACACATCCCATCTCTTCCTAACTATGGGTTAAATTGTTAATTTTTACCATAAATAGACACCCTGTTTAATCCATTAACTTTTAGCATGCTGGATGTGAAAATTGTCGCTGTAGAACTCTCTCCCTTTGCATGCTGTAGGCAAATTCTGTCGCCTCAAGAGGATTGCTATAAACACTATTCAACTGTTATTTCTAGAAATAGCCCCACTATGTCTTCCCAACTGAGCAATGGTGAGAGGAAAAAGATCATTCAGGCTTTCATTAATGGTACCAATATTCATACTCTGGTTTCCATCTTCAAAGTCCATTTAAGAACCATCAAGAGAATGGCAAATAAGTTTAAAAAAGGAACAGTAGAGAGGAAAACTGGATCAGGAGGTCATGACAGGAAGAGGGATCATCATTTCAATTTAAAGCTAAAGAGAGCAATTAGAAAAGATCCAGCTCAATACATAAGATGTTTGGAATGTGAGAAAGGAGTTTTAGTTATGACAGTCCAAAGAGTAATGAAAAATGAAATCATATGTGAAACCTCTGAGGCACCTTGTTACTTGAGGAAAGAAAGTTAGGTTAGAGAGGGCAAAGATCATCTTGAATAAGTTGGAAAATTTTATATATATATATATATATATATATATATATATATATATATATATATATATATACAGACACATTATTTAAGTAACAACCTAATTTTAAAAGACATATGTTAAATAATGTTTGCCACAATAGAATTAAACCACAAAAACTTCTCAAAGTGAACCATGGTAGAATTTACTAGTCTGCATTTATTAATTCCTTTATAGCAGGAGAACAAAAATTGTTGGATATTAGCATTTTTTACACTCCTTCTTCAGATCTGTTAAAGACATATGTTAAATAATGTTTGCCACAATAGTGTCTTTCTTGAGTGAGTGAAGCCAGAGGGTCTTCACAAAAACCATCCTTCTTTGAACCTTGTGAACTGGTGCTACAGCATCACAAAGAACTGTACCAAATAACAGAAACCACATCACTTGGAGAGCAGAAACAACTAAAATGTGTAACACATGTAACTCGATGAGAAAATAGTCACATAATTGAGATGTTGACATTCCACATCACTTCAAACAAAAGGTTAGAAAGGAAAACCCTCATTAATATTGGAAAGAGCAATAAAAGCTACTGGACTTGCGAAATCTACTTTCATGAAAAGTTGTTTTAAAAGAAAGATTTTATAAATTTCAACCAAATGCAGTACTAGCTGCTCAGTCAATGAATGCCAAATGTTTTCTTATAAGGAAATGGCTAATATTACTATAAACCTAAAATCTTCGTAGCAAGCTCTTGTGCAACAATAGTGTCTTTTTTTCGTTGCACTCATTGTGGCAAATTATTGTTACATGATAGTATCTTTTTACACTAGACTTTTAGTGGCAAGCCCTCATGCCACATGAGTGTCTTTTCATTTCATACAATATGTCAAATAAATCTAATAATAGAAAACAGCATACAATGTGCAGAGGCTGTGGTAGGCTATGCCAATGTCATAGATATTCATAGTTAGGATAAGAATGATTTTGATTAAAAAAAAAAAATTAACATCCTCTACCAAGTTTTCCAAGAAATAGAATAAATCTGAAACTATGATCTGGACTTGGAGTGAAAACAATGATGGCACCTAGTCAGATCCATCATAAAAATTAATGACATGGAATTAGTAAATACTAAACAATTCAAATACCTAGGTTGGTTTGTTGATTTTGTTTAGCAGCATATCAACCTCTATGCTGAAATATATATATATATATATATATATATATATATATATATATATATATATATGATAAATTAATTGATTTAAAATATGGTTTTCCACTACACAGTTCTATATTTTAAATCAATTAATTTATAATATTATATCTTTCTGTAAATTTACATTGAGCACTATTTTGTAAAAATAAAAATATCTATAAGAACACGGATTATATATCTTGCTATTCTTTCTTTTTATATATATATATATATATATATATATATAGATACACCTTAGTATAGCCAGACAAACCTACCTAGGTTTCACCCCTAAACGGATTACGTCAGGGAAAAGTTTGGCTCTTTTCATTAAAGGTAGGTTTGTCTAGTTCACTAGGTGTATCTAGGTCTGCTCTTATCTTTTAGTTGTATTGAGCTCTTTTGTTAGTTAGTTGTTACCCCGCCTAGCGTTCCTTAGAATTTTCGGGGTTTTTTTGAAATTTGGGCTTCAGACCTGCATCTGTGTGATTTTTTTGTCAATTTACCTAGAAGTCCATGTTTGTAGCTCTTTCTTTTTTAAAACCTTTTTTTTCTTTATCTTATTATCCTCGCCTGCAGATTGATTTGATTAGCAAATCAAAAATTCGAGGGTTTTTCGAAACGAGTCTAGTTTTCTATATATATATATATATATATATATATATATTTTTAATGCTGAAATCTAATATTTTGAACACAAAGTTAGGGCTTCAACCAAATATATTTTGACTGCAATTGTATGCCTACAGATAAAATGTATTTTGGTCATTTTGCTATAAAATGTATTTTTGGTAATTCTTACTATAAATAGGTATTGTTGAGAATTTTTTTGTATTGCTTGTATTTTTATACTTTCATAGTGTTTTGTTTTTGTTTGGGGGTTCACTATTTGCCCATAGTTGGGATCCTAACAGGTGCTACCACCCTGGGTCAGGGTGGACCAGGGAGCAACAGCAATTAAGAGTTTCAAATACCTAGATGTAGGGATCAGTTATAACAAATTTATAATAGAAGATAAGGAAATTGAACATACAACCTTATGCAAATTAATTGAAACAAAACAAATTCCATTATTATTTACTTTTTCTTCATATTTTTCCAATAAAACATGACCCAGTGCATATGTTAGTACTTCGTATGTCCATTCCACGAAGTTGTTCCTTGCGAATTGACCACAGATTCTCGATTAGATTTAAATCAGTAGAGTTTCCAGTCCAGTCGATAGTACTTTGATTTGCTCATTGGTAAAGCTTGCAAGGGTGTTCATGCAGCATTACAATTTCCGTACACTTCCTTGGAGTCCATTGCAGACAATGGCCATAGGACAACTAATCAACAGTTGAGACAATAGTGTCTGGGCATGATAAAATTCTGATGCAATCGCAGATGATACAATATTTTTTTAACAAATTTTATCATAAACCCTGAAAATAGATTCATATTACTGCACACCACTGTAAATGACCTCATCTGGGGAAAAAATAGAAATTGGTTACACCCTGTCACTCCAGTGGAGTCTAAAACTGACCGTATGGTGAAAGAAAGGAAACTAAAGCAGTTGTTTTAATTAATTTGCACAACGATATAGAATAGGCTGTTCTAGGAGTATTGTGTCACACAACATTGCAAGTTGCTATGAAATCAAAACATTAATCATAATCTTGTTTGTAAATAGCATTGTCAGATCAACATGCATGGTGACAAACTCTTTTAGAAGCATCTGAACTGTCAGCAGTATACAACTACTTTCTCAGATGAATGATTAAAAATGGCTTTGAGTGAGTGAAGCCTGTAGGTCTTAGTGAGGACCATCCTGTAGGTTTTAGTGAGGACCATCCTTCATCGAACCTTGTCATCTGGTGCTACAGATTCATAAACAAAGAACTGTACCAGATAACAGGAACTCCATCACTTGAGGACATTCAGTAGCAGCAACAACTAAAGTAGACAGCAGATGTAATGCAATGAGAGAATCATGATAAGATCATGAGCCTGAAATTCCACACGAGCTGAAACGAAAGGCAAGGCAAGGAAAGAACACTACCCCCATCAATACAGGATACCCCGTTTCCTAAAAAGGTTGTTTTCAGAGAAAGATTTTGTAAATTTCAACCAAAGGTTGCACTGGCTGTTTGATCAATGAATGCCAAATGTTTCCTTACATGAAAACGGTTAATATTACTATTACCAAAAAGAACAAGCATAAGATTTAGTGATTGTTTTTTATAGCTTATCAAACCTTTGCAGGTTCTTTAAAGCCGAAAAATTTTTAGATGGGAAAAATTTTTTTTTGAGATAATAATTTACTGATACAAGTCGTATTAATTAACCCATAGTTGGGGGGGGGAGAAGAGGTGGATTCATATTTTTGTGCATAAATGACTATAACAAACCCAAGTGGATTTGGAGCTTTCCAATTCCAAACTGTTATCCATTATACTACCTGCACATCCAAGCTTACAGCACTTAGCATTCCTAAGCAGTCACCCATCTAGGTATTGACCAGGCTCAACATTGCTTAACTTCAGTGATCATATAACACCTGGTGTTTCAACAGGATATGGGTGTAAGGCAACAACCCTAAGAAGGGGGTTAAGTGGATTGTATTGAAATATTAGATGAAAATGGGAAAATTACCCACCTGCACTGAACGTGCTCAATGGAAGAATATGGTAGCTGCATTTTCATGACTTCTCAGTTCAACAGAGACTATTATGTTAAATATTATTTGACATATGTCTTTAAGAAACCTAAAGAAAGAGGGTCAAAAGACACTAGTATTCAAGAAGTAGAGTGTTTGCTGCTAACAAGAAAACATCAATTGCTAGATTATGTAAACAAGCAATCGGATATTGTGCATTGAGCAGAAAACCTGAATGCATGTATTGGCCACTGATATGTTGTTCATGAATGACCTGTTCAAAACCTGTCCTTTCCATTTAAAAAAATAATTCAAGCATTCATTAAAAGGTGTGTTTGCATTTATTGTTAGCAGATTCTTATATAAATTGTCAATGTTTTTCTAAGTTTTATATTTAATTCGTTTAATAGGTGAATAAAAATTAAATTTTATTACAGGCGGGTCTATCAGGTAAAAAAATTTAAAAAGCTCTGAATTAGGCAAAAAACACTTCAGAAGTCAATGGACATAACATTTTAGGATAATTCTGTTAAAAACAAAGAAACGAGTACTAAACTGTTATGTAATATCAGTCCTCTTATATGGCTGTGAATGTTGGACAATTTTCTCACAGATTAAGAAAAGATTTGAGGCAGCAGAAATATGAAGTTTTACAGAAGGATGCTGAGAATCTCATGGACTGATCATATAACAAAGAAATTTGAAGGAAAATAGAAAGAAAAAGTTAGCTTATACTTAGAATCAAAAAGAGTTAAAATTTCTAGAGCATGGAGAATCTGACATTCACAAGACATATTGATAGGAGGGAGGGACAGATGAAAGCAGCAGGTAATCTAGCTAATGAGTTAGATGGCAGAATAATGACTGGGTGAGACAGTGACAAGAAAAATCTTACTAAAAGCTACAATGGATGAGAAGTTGTGGAGAGTCATGGATGCAGCACTTAGAAATATATAATTAAAAACTGAACCCCTAAAGAACAGAAATCTTACCAGGAAACTTCAAAGTTGGGATAAAATTATTATTTAAAAGTGAAGTAATCTTTCTTTATATATATATATATAATTATTTTTAAAAAAATATGAGTTCTCATGTTTCAAAAACAAGAGCCAAAAACCTCAATATAATTATTAAAATTAAATTGAATTAAAGTATCAAGCCCTGTTTCATCCTCAAGTGAAAATTTAGGAATAACCAATCTTGAAATTTGTGCATCTTTATAAGCATGTCCATTCGCAAAATTAATTACTATGGAAACGGCTGGAGCGACCATTTTGATAAGGAGGTGTAAGAGTTAACAATTTGTATCCACATATCAGTCACCTTCGGAAAACATGTTCTTTCCTATTTTTCTATATATTTACACACACACATATATATATATATATATATATATATATATATAAAACGTACAGATTATGGTAGAGTGTGTTTGTCAATGGCTGGTCTAAGGAGGCTGGTCTAAGCACCACCAGTGGATGGTGGCAATTGACTATAAAACGGTAGATGTCCAGCAACTGAAATATAATATTTGTGATAAGACATGTGGGTCTAGAAGAGTTTTCATGCGATATTTTAAATTGCATGATAATGTAACACCTACTGTTGAACCTCTTAAGTGCCTTGATTGTGCCAGAGTTGAAGAATTTAGAGGTATGTTGGAGAGCAGTCATTCATCAAGATGGTGCCTATTTCAACTAAATAAATTAGTTTAGTAACATTTCAGAAGTGTTTTATTCATTTCTTATAAAGTGTGTCATTTCATGTGTGACAACCTAATAATTCAAGGGCCTATATTTTTTCCTTAATGTCAAACTACTTCCTTACATGGTAGAACTGTTTAAACAATTTACAACAGTAATATGTTTGGATCAAGAATAGAAGGCTAATCACCAAAGATTTAAGCTGTACAGCAAGACCACTGGTTACCAAACTTTTTTCTCTGGGCTGCATTTTTGGAATGAAAATTTTCTTGTACCTCACCCAATTTTATGTGATAAAAAGTACATTTAAAAATAAGAAAACAGAAATAGTGTTAAAGGGAGATAACCACGGATTCAAAGTCCAAACATTATCATTGATAACTTTCTCCTCCAATTTGCAAACCCAAGTTAATACTTAATACTTGATATAATGCAAAAATATCACTATGATAAAATTGGTCAATAATTATTTATAACTATTTATATTGGGACTCATGCATGCAATTACTAGTAATCCATAATAATATTTTAAATTTTGAAATCATATTTATTTTTGGCATATGAATTTTTTTCAAACTGTTTCTAAATCTTTGATTGTCTTTCAATCATTGTGCCTCACCTGCTATCCTCTTCTGCTGCATCTATGAGGCCCGTTGCATGATTTGAAAAACACTGAGCTACAGGAATAGTGGCTATGAAAAGTGCAACAGTGGAATCCAAAAGCACATTGGGATAGCAAAAGATACCTTCCAAAATCTAAGCAAAGTATTAAGAAACAGAAATTGAACTGTTATGTAATATCAGTCCTACTATGTGGTAGTGAATGCTGGACAGTCTTTTTACAGATGAAGAAGAGACTTGAAGCAACAGAAATGTGGTTCTACAGAAGGATGGTCAAAAAAAATGTTTTTAAAATGTCAAAATTTTCCCTTGAGTTGGCAAAAATCCAAACAGCTACTATCTCAATATAATAAACAAAATCTATTAAAAATAAAAATCATAGTTACTTTAATGTCTGCTCAATATATGCCATAGAAATTGCCAAAATTTATTTAAAAGAACATGAAAAAATACATTTTTACAACATGGGTGTCTCACCTCACTCAGTAGGAGTCAAAGTAGGTGGGTGAGGTGATATTTGTATTAGCGACAGATGGACAGTGACTCAAATTCATGTTGAAATCTCGCGGATGAATAGCTTTCATTTGTAACTATGGTGGCTCATAATAAAAAAAAATTAAATATTTTATGTTTTGTTAATTATTTTTCACTATTTTCATTGAATTGTCATTGATAATCTTTATTGTCATATTCACAATGTTTCAACCATTGTATAATCCAGTCTTCTTCAGGTGATATACGTTGGAACTGAACCCTTTATTTCATCTACCAGGGTAGATTGTGCCATGCCTTTTCTGGATATTACAATTTCAGTTATTTCCCTTTAGTAACTCAACTCTCCAAGTTTTTATTCACCTCTGATTTGGCTAAGTATTGAACTCACGACTCTTTGGGTCAAGTCACTTTTTGGATTATTTCATTTAGAGGCTTACAATTTGATCAGAAAATCACTTGGAGGGATTGTGTAGGCAAAGATCATGGTCATCTAAGTAATATGAACTAATCTTGAACATCTATCAATATTTCTGAGATGAGGTATTGTAACTATTTACATTGTTCAGACTGTTTTCCTCATCTTTATTGTCATATTCGCAATGTTTTGGCCATTATAAGCTTCGGACTTCTTCAGGTGGTATATGTTGGAATTCCAAACCAAACCCTTTATTTTGTCCACTGGAGTAAATTGTTATAGTTCCATGTGCTATGCCTTTTCTGGATGCTCCAGTTTCAATTATTTTTCATTTAGGGAACATACCATGGCTGAAATGTCATGAATTTGACAATAAAGATGCAGACAACAGTTCAAACAATATAGTGTAAATAGTTACAATAACTTATCTCAGAAGTATAGACATATCCTGAAGAAGACTGGAGCTTAAAACGGCTGAAACATCATAAATGGGACAATAAAGATGGCAAAAGTCCAAACAAGTAAATAGTGTAAATAGTTACAATACCTCATCTCAGAAATATAGACAAATCCTGAAGAAGACCAGAGATTACAACAGCCGAAACATCATGAATGGAACAATAAAGATGAGGACAACAGCCCGAACAATGTAAATAGTGTAAATCTTATCTCCTAATAATAATAATAATTATAATAATAATTTCGAACTGAACCTTTGGATAGATTGTTCTAGTTCCATGTCTTTTCTTGATATTTAAGTTTCAGTTATTTCCCTTTAGTAACTCAACTCTCCAAATTTTTGTTCACCTCTGCTCTGGCCAGGTATTGAACTCCCAGTGGATAAGAGAATTGGTTGAAGTGACTTAACCAAAAGATTTGTGAGCAAAAAGAGCAAAAAAATACAATTGACGATAAAATAAAATTACATACACGTTTCATCACATTATTTTTTTTTTACTTGGGTATCAAAATTTTCTGAAATGAAAATTGGAAATACCTATTTTATTGTATATTGAAAAAAAATGTCAACTCCACCCACCCAGTTAGTAAGAACCCAACCTGTAGGCACCTTAGCATGCACATACACACACACACACCTAAATTTCTGACATTTCTTTTAATCCAGACAAAATTATGAGCAAACATTTCAATTTCATGTAATTGCCAGATTAATTCAATCATTTAATTCACTTATAATTCACATTTTTATTTTTAATTATTTCACCCCAAGTAAGGCAATAAAGCCACTAGAACACAAGAGGTTACTGTGTGTTAGAGAATATGAGAAAAACTAATATTAAGGAGAGAGAACAATAAAAGAACAAGAATTAAGAAGAAAGAGGGTAATGATTGACATTGTATTTAAATTTTTGAAGATCAAAGTTGACTGGGTAGCAAGTAGCTGGAAGTGAGATCTACAAGCAAGAATTTTGTAAATTTTGAAAAAAATGCATTTTCCAGGTGTTACTTTCATCTGCTCTCACCACATAAATTCATTAAAATTATTTGTGAGCATCTGGACTTATATTTTTTTTTCTCAAGAACTGACAACAAAAATGTTAAATGCTCTTTACTTATCAGACTGATTATTTGCATGAATAAAGTTTTCAACATTTTTGTTGTCAATTCTCAATAAAAAAGACATTCATTGTGAGAGGATATGCAATAATAGCAGGTCATATATGAAAAAAAAAAAAAAAAAAATAACTTACAGGGTGAGGTGTTATTCCTAAGCCATCATAATACATGACACCCAATTGGTAAAGTCCCTGCAAATCATGGTTCTCTACTTTCTCAAAGTATTCCTTTGCTTCCTTGTAGAGTTCCTGTAAAAGAAAATGCTACTCGTTAGGGAGACAGTTTTTTTTTAAAAAAATATCACTATTAGATATATACATGCTAACTGAAAACCAATCTTACATAGAATAGGATTTTATAGCCAGTTTGTCTGCATGGACTAAATCAGTGGTTGGCAATCGCTAGTATCTGGGCCACATCCAGCCCACAAAGGATTTTTATCTGGCCTGCCAGCTTAACTGGAGAGCAAAGATCAAGATAATTCTTACCTTCAGGATCCAAAGTGGATTGTCAACTTAGCATTTTTAGTGGACATCATGACTGACATGAACCCTTTGAATCTTGAGCTTCAAGGAAAGAACAAGCTTATATTTGAGATGCTTGGTCAAATTACTGTGATGTCAGTTGTAATGGTCAAACTGAATTTATGTACTTTTTTTGTTCATACATACTTCAATATACAATATCCACTTGAGAAAGCTGTTGCATTCTGGGACACTTCCATGTCTTTTAGTCTAACAACTGGTGTGTCTACTTACATTTATATCTTGGCCTGTATATAGACTGTCCAGCCAACCCTTGTGTGTGTGTGTGTGTGTGTGTGTGTGTGTGTGTGTATATATATATTTTCCTTAAGTATTTTATATATTTAGTGATCTTAAGTTTTCTCATTCTTTTCACACACACAAGGTGTCCATAAAGTTCGTGTGCAATTTAAAAATCTATAAATTTATTTGTCTTTGCGATAGAAATAATTTGTAAAAAGGATTAGAAAGAAGTAAATCTATATGTTTTAAGGTTTTATTGAAATTTTATTTAAGTTTCCAAATGTCCTCCATCATTAGCAATACAAAGGGTTATACGATTTTGCAGTTCATGGAAAACATTTGCCAACTGATTTACAGTAATGCCTGAAATCACATTAGTTATTTTAGCTATACTTAAAACTAGGTACATTAAACTTTATAACATTTTTTACAGATTATTTCTATCGCAAATACAAATAAAGTTATAAATTTGTTAAAGTGCACACGAACTTTATGGACATCCTGTATTTGAGATGCTTGGTCAAATTCCTGCTTTTGAAAGAAAACTTCGACTGTGCAAATCACGACTTCAGAATGGAAACTATTCCCATTTTCCAAATCTCCAAAATTACAAGTGCGATATAATAGCAGATATTTTTGTGAAATATATTATTCAGGATTTGAAAAGTGAGTTTTCCTCCCATTTTGCTGACTTCTGTCAATATGGATATTAATTTAAATTATTTGGTACTCCTCATGAAACACATGTGAAGCAAGTGGCAAAAGAATATCAGCTGAAGTTAACTGACTTATAATTTTTGAAAAATCAAAATTTCATTCTGAATCCTTTGCTGACTACAAAAAGAAATGTTTTGCCAAGTGGAAAATATAAAAGCCTATTGAATAACGTGAAGATAATGGTTTGGTGTGGTCTATTTTGTTTTACAGCATATCAACCTCAGTGGGTTACTTAATGTCGACAAGATTTTAGGATAGGTTTATATGAATAGAATATGTGTTCTTCATAAGAAATCAGTTGGTAGATCAGGTTTCATTGACGTATTTTTGTAAAGAGGGTTTTTCTTGAGTATTGCTGATATTTTTTGTTTTTCAAAAATATATTGTGAGTAATTTTACTATAAAAATCTATTTTTATACTTTTATAGTGTTTGGACTCTAGTTTGGAGTTAAATATTTGCCCCTAGCTGTGACCCTAACAGGTGCTACCACACTGGGTCAGGGTGGACCTGGGAACAACAGCAATTAAGAGATGTTTCTGTTATAGACAAGCGTATGGTTGCAAGAAAGAAATACAAAAACAGCAGAAATAGATTTACGTGGTTTATTTCAACAGGAACGAGTGGGTTTTGGACAGCTACCTTGTGGTAAAGTTCATAAGCCGGCTTCGGATCTAGGTTGATCTCTCATAGTAGTTCACACATGTTGACTGAGGCTGGTGCTCTCCTGCTGACAGCTGCTGAACGCTTGGCCTGACAGTGACAGGTCTCCTTTGTGGCCACCTGGTGACTGCTTGTTGAACTTTCATGTGACCCCTTTTATAGCGTTGTTTTATGGCTTAACAGGCTTGAAAAACGAAGCGAGTATAATTAGGAGGGAAGCATTTTTATTGGACGAAAAATAGAGCACTTTAAATATTATTTTATTTTTCGACCGGAACACGTGTGTCAGGAACATTTGTAAAGAAAGATAATGGTCATTTTGTGACGGGGCTTTATCCTGCTCACATCCGGTTCTCGCTCTTGAGTATTTGCCTGTAAATCAGCCAAGATATGTCTTATTTTATTTTATAACATTTCCAAAACCTCTTGACCTTGCTGCTGGATGTAGTTTATTGTCATACTCAGGATGGGAAAATAATGGTATCATTATTTGGAAGTACATTTGCTTGTGGATAACATTTTTCTGAAAATGAAATCTAAAAGTCATTTAAGAACAAGGATGGGTGGTGACCAGCTTGATGATGTTTTACTTATGTCATCGACAAATATTTCACCTGATGTGAAGAAGTTACTGAACAATAAACAGAAACACATATCTCATTAAATTATTCACCATTTTTAACTGTATTTCATTTGTCGTAAGGAATTTGCATTTTTTTGTTGATTGTGTTAATTGTTATCCAGTTATTCCTGCAGTAAAATAAGGAATCTTGTTTAAATTATATAACATTAACGTTGTTGTTTTTTCTTTAAATCTCCAGACCAAGGCAGCCTTCTGGACAGAGTGATCTAAGACTGAAACAATTTATTATAGTGAATTTGATATCATGACCCTCCACTGAGAGACTGCATAGCTGTCTGGCCTGTTCTCTCCAAAAGGTGTTGATCCCTGGAGTAAATGCAGCCTTTGACCATAAGAGAATTTAAATTGTATATATGAAATCCTACCTCATTTACATTTGGACTATTATCTGCATCTTTGTTGTTATTATCAGAATGTTTCACCTGCTGAGCTCTCTGGCCTTTTTTTTAGGCATCTATTGATTGGATAACTTTCAAAGAATTTTGAACTGAACACTTTATTTAATCTACAAGTGGAGATTATTCTCATTCATCTAAACATGTTTGAGGATATTCTTTTCAGTATTGCTAGTCTATCGTGCGACTTCTGAATCTGTACTACCCAGCCCAGAGATTGAACTCATAATTACAATATCACCAAATTCCCAAACTAACACTAGGCTACAGTCCTATTGGACTTAGAATTTGTGGAAACGGGGCAAACAATAACTGAGCAGTCCTAAAATAAGCACAAGACGAGATATACTTAGACATGAACAGTAAAGCAAGAACAATCTACTCTGTAGATTGAATAAAGGGTTCAATCTGAAATTCCCTGAAGTTTACCTGGATTGAGAGTTAGATGGACAAAGGCAGGAAATCACAATGGCTAAAACATTGTAATGATAACGAGAGAGATGAGGACATCAGTCCAACTATAAAAAAAAATGATAAATTCAAGCAGAAATTGATTCTTATTTGATTCAGGCAGAAATTGTATCTTATTTGAGAACCAACACCATAATGAAGTCTTGGATCACATTTAATGCAAATGTTTTCAAAAAAGATTTTAAATAGCCAAATTTTGGGGGAATTTTGATTAAAAAAAATTATTGCAGTCATAAAAACAGGCATTAACATCAAACTATATTTTGGGGAAAACTTAAAGGTCATCAAAGGTTAATGTTTATGGCTCCATGGTCTAAAAATGTAAACCCAACAGTTTTTTATGCCTTGATTTTCTGGTAACCTGGAAAAAAGTCACAAGAAGGTGTGGATAATTGAGGAAGTAATTTATTATGAGAATTGCTTCTCATGATGTAGTCCTTGTATATCTGATATCTCTCTAAGATGGAAAGCACAGAAATTCTGTTTGGTTTCAGTGAGAAAAGAAAGAAAGACAGAAGATAAATTAGGCAATAATGTTCTCATGTGTTTAATGTCTGCTTCAGTGAAATGCTTGGTTGATTTTGTTTAGTGACTTATCAATCTGTACGAGTGAGCTATTTAATGCCGAAATCCAAATATCTTGTACACAGTTTTATGCCTTCAACTATAGAGATTTTGGATGTAATTTTATACTTTCAGAGCAAAGGTATCTTTTTCTATGTATAGTTTGTAGATGATACAATGCATTGTTGGTAATTTTTGTAAAAGATGTATTGCTGGTAATTGTACTATAAATATGCATTTTTATACTTTTTTTTAATGCTGTATTGATTATAATTTTGCTATAAAATGTACTGTTGGCCATTTTACTATAAAAAATGTATTGTTGGTAATTATAAAAATGTACTGTTGATTTTTGTTTGGGGGTTCACTATTTGCCCATAGCTGGGACCCTAACAGGTGCTACCACCACGCATCAGTCTGGACCTGGGAATAACAGCAGTTAAAAGGTGGCTCCATGTTCCTCAAAACCTCCAATATCTCAATCAGACACCTTGCTGCTGGATGTAGTTTATCGTCATACCTAGGATATTGGTGAAATGAAAAAATTTGTCAATTTCAATTCTTTTCATTTGTACCCTCTTACTTCTTTAAATAATAGCCTGTATTCATATTTAGCAAAGAGAAAAAGAAAGAGAGTGTGTGTTGCACCCATTTTTGGGAGTAAAAATTGAAGTTGGGAATCCAATAAGAGAAAAAATTATTCCTGAGCTGAGGGTAAAAACTTACTATGCTTCACTTGGAGATCAATATATCATAGGGCCAAAGATCAAAAAAAAAAAAAAAATTAAAAGCAATTTGTTTCAAGAAGCTAATATTGCACTTCTAGCTTCTGCAGAAGAAGACCACATTCAGTCTGTCCCACAGACAAAACGTTGCAAACCTATCACTATTGTTTCCATGACAAATGTTGAGATAAGCTCCATTCTTTAGTTCCACCAGCTTAGACGTTTACCTGCCATGCTACATCCATAAAGTCGAATCAACCTCATTTCCTCTATATTCCAAATGTAAGAAGAAAGTTCCACTTCA